TTTTTGCCAACAGCCATGATTCGAGGTTATCTGATGAACTCTTGAACACTTGCTTCTCATCTTCACCTGTGAGCTTCCATGCTGCAGAAGCCAACTGGTTTTTCTCAATCAACATCAAATGTTTGCACTCATCTAAAGGACATTATAAAAATAAGATTCTAGGTGATTCATCAATATTGTTCTGGGAATGAGAATTTGCGGAAACTTCCCAGGGGTGAAGTTTATCATATCCTCATAATAAAAACAGACAAAAAAGTTGAGGTCACCAAGCTCATTACGACGATTTGACAAATGCAACATGCCAACTCCCCACCCCATATGGCACAATCTTGACCCTTTTATGAGTTATATGAACATTTATTGAATCTCAACCTTTATTGAATCTTATTAACAAGGATCCTATATATTTATATACAAGAAAACACGGTTTAGCAAAACAAAAAGCATTGATGTGCATTGTCAAGGTGGCGACAAAAAAGCACGGTCAGAGACCTTCTTAAAGAAATAAAACATGCAACATGATGTGGTTTAGTGTTAGTTGCACAGGAGCCCTAGCCAGAGTTCCATCATTTTGGAAGATATATTTCCTGAAGCACACAATATCAATGCAGAGTGATTTTCTCTTTGCTCTTACTCTTACTTTATCACTTTGTTATTAGATATGTAGCATAAAAGAGCAGAATACAAAACTGATGAATCACCACATGGTTATATTTCATGGCTGAATATTTGCATTTTATTGCTTCACCAAGACAATGTTAGTAAGCCTAGGGTGAACCACTGAACCAGGTAGAGCTTTTTGCTATCCGGCCAGAATATCCAGTCGGATATGTTTGATATATAAGCTAGGTTTGAGCTTTCAATTTCAATTTATTTAAAATGGCTCGATTGTTTATACTATTTTGACTCAAACACATGGATATTTACACTTCATTATGTTGTTTAACAATAGTCAATCTTTTTATTCTAACATTTGCATGCTCTCTGTTTCATGACTGAAAGTGTCTGACTGTCTGGCAGCAGACAAAGTAACATATGACCATATGACTCAGTTCCAGCTGGAACTTTCTTCCAGTTCCGGCCAGATCCAGTTCCAGCCGGAACTTAAAAAATGGTGCACCCCTACAGGTCTAGTCTAGGAAGGCGCTTGATCGTGTGTGCATGCCTATTAACTCATTAAGCTGCAATGCATCCCAGTGCACCCTAATTTTTTTGCTTGTCTAATGCCAATGGGGAAGCTCTGCACTTTAAGGGGTTAACCAAAAAATCTGACAATGTCTCTAGTTATTTTGCACCTATCAATGTTAAGCCCCAGAGGGGGGGGGGTTCGGGAATATGTGGGGTATTTGATTTTCAATTCCATCCCCACCCTGGGGATTTTGATTAGCATTTTGGCCCCGAGTTGGGGCAATTTGAACCGAATGACTGTTATTAACATAGTATTTATTGCAATTTATTGCAAGATGGTGGGGCTTTTGACCAATATTTTTTGCCCGACGGTGGGGCATTTGATTGCAAATTTGCTCAAAAAATCAAATACCCCTCCTATGCCCCCCCCCCCCACCCCGCCTCTGGGGCTTAACATTGACAGGTGCATTAATCCCATTGAGACGTAATGTGCCCCAGTGCCCCTACTTTTTTTAACTTGTCTAATGCCAGACAATTTCACTCATCAATGGGGAAACATGCATGTTACAGTAAGTTCAGACTGTCAACTACGCATGTAATAACAATATACGAAGTAGACTCTCGCTTAAGAGGCTGTCTCCCTAAAAACCGACCACTCATATTTTACGTAAAAAGTAAACCCACCTAAAACTTTATGACCAGGAAGGTTTGGGCTTTTAATTACCTGAATCGGTTTTATTTTTCCCAAATATTTTATTTTTATCCAGATATAGCGATCAATAGTCCCAGGAATCTCGGAAGCAAAATGGCGGCCGCATACGCGGAACTCTGACTTCCAATCTCAATTCCGTTTGGATATTTTTTAACAACAAGTGGTTAAAATTTATCGTTAATACTAACATCCTTGATTTCATTTATTATTTATTCAAAACTTTGCACAACGTAACCACGTCTGATCCGCCTTGTCTGTTCGGCCAACACACCACGTCGATTAGAATTTGATATTCCCGAATCTGGATTGAAATTTCCACAATTAACTACCATAGTTGTGTTATATAATAATTAGTTGAATAATATAATATGTTATTTCGTGTGGATCTGTTTGCGTTTCTTCAACAGAATGCTGTCAATATCCATCAAATTCGGCTTAATTCACAAACAGAAATAATTGGCACTGCCAACTGTTCAAGTACTGTTGGCCAGAATAATTCGCTAAATACTTACGAAAGCACAAGTATTGTGTTTTAAAAAGGCAATGTTAAATAGTTTCAAAACTAAAAACTACTTGAAACTTCTGGGAAATCATAAATATAGAAAATATCTTGATTCTAGCGCATTGCCAACAACAAAAGACGACAGGTCACGCACAGAGTTGACCATTTCTTTTAATGTTTTACGTGTTCTACATTGCAAAAAAAATGTGAACTGTTATATTGAGGCTTTATATGATCATATCAATTCTGATTTAAAAACCTTATTTCCACAGCAACCTTACAAATCTTGATTTTCTTTCTGCAAGTTTAATAATTGGTAAGACTCAAATGAGTCAACAATAATAATATCGTAATTTCTTTCCGTCTGCGCGTTTATTTTGTTCTAAAAATATTTCATTATGCTGTCAAGCCTCAAGAATATAAGGTGTAAGACTTGTTAGTACGACAACCGAAAGTGATGTAATCAAGTTACCACGTTTCTCCCAGCCCTATACACACAACCCGATACGCGCACGCGCACACTTTGCTTCATTCTATATTCTGGCGCCAGTTGTCATCAAAAGCCGGTTGTTCTAACCCTGGGTCCAAATAGAACTTTCCAACAGCTTGCTTATAAAATTAAATAGGTTTTCCAGAAATCTTTTTTGGATCAGTAGATGTTTTTTTCTTCAAACTTTTGAAATGAACGGTCTTACAGAAATACCCTCAAAACAGCGGGTTAAAACTTAACCCATGCTGGGTCAGTGCTAATCGAGCTTTGAACAACCGGCCCATGGACTATGTTTGTTGCAATTTTATTATACTACCATTTAAACAATCGACTTCAACGTACAGTATTATAGAACATAAATATGAAAATCAGGAGGATGAGCAGTCACATTCTCTTACTTATTCATCGCTTATATACATTTTACACATATCGCTCAATAGGCGAATGAAGGTTTAGTTGAAGTCAACTGAAATTCAAACAGTTCCCAACCCGACACTTAGAAGGGTCTGGAGAAAATATTTCACCCTCCCTGCTAATGAAAAATGTTCAAGAAATTTTTGCACGGAAGAAATTTTACTTAATTAGAATGACCTACGCGGCAATCCTGTGCAAGGGCAATATACCAATTTTATTTTGCAAACAACTTTTAAAGAACAGGATTAATTTGGAAAGTTCTTACGTGACCCAACAGGAACATGGACTTGGTATAACTGTTGTATATTTTTGCACATGTCTACTCCAATCATATCGCGCGTTTTTAGTGCCGTTCGCTTGCCATTGTGTTTAGGGTAGTGACAGGATAGGCGAGGTGGTCTCCACTGCTTTCCAAGAGTGAGTCGGTGCTTTGTACAGATTCACATTGCATCTATTTGTCCCTGGCGAAGATTGACTATTCCTGCCCTTAAAAGGATTAACTCTACTTCTGTTAGTGTTTCAGAAGAAAGATGGTTTAATAGTTCGAAGTTGATGTTTTATGTCACTTTGACATTCTGTCAGACGAATTAGTTCCTCGCTGCAGCAAGAGTATTCTTCTTTTCCTCCGATAAAACAACATAGCGAATACATCGTTGAATCGATAATATTAATGGGACAGAACTACGTTTGCAACAATATAATATTAGAAAAAGCATCGATGTAAAACGGCTAGAAGCGCCCAGTGACGAAAGTTAATGATGACTCATATGTATGTTGATTTCAATTATGCATACCGGAAGTATAGTAACGTGATGCGGGAAAAATATATGGGAAAGTATTTAAATAATATAAGATTTTTGATAATAGTGGAAATATATAAAGCAGGAATATTCCTGGTCACTATGGAATATTCCCGGTTTTTACTACACTTTCATCATCACACATTTGTTTACCAAACTTGCAAGGTACAACGCGTAAAACATTAAACGTAATGGTTAACTGTGTGCGTGACCTGTCGTCTTTTGTTGTTGGCAATGCGCTAGAATCAAGATATTTTCTATATTTATGATTTCCAAGTAGTTTTTAGTTTTGAAACTATTTAACATTGCCTTTTTAAAACACAATACTTGTGCTTTCGTAAGTATTTAGCGAATTATTCTGGCCAACAGTACTTGAACAGTTGGCAGTGCCAATTATTTCCGTTTGCGAATTAAGCCGAATTTGATGGATATTGACAGCATTCTGTTGAAGAAACGCAAACAGATCCACACGAAATAACATATTATATTATTCAACTAATTATTATATAACACAACTATGGTAGTTAATTGTGGAAATTTCAATCCAGATTCGGGAATATCAAATTCTACTCGACGCGGTGTGTTGGCCGTACAGACAAGGCGGATCAGACGTGGTTACGTTGTGCAAAGTTTTGAATAAATAATACATGAAATCAAGGATGTTAGTATTAACGATAATTTTCAACCACTTGTTGTTAAAAAAATATCCAAACAGAATTGAGATTGGAAGTCAGAGTTCCGCGTATGCGGCAACCGAATTTAGTAGGAAATGTTGTGTTTAGACGGCCGCCATTTTGCTTCCGAGATCCCTGGGACTATTGATCGCTATATCTGGACAAAAATAAAATATTTGAGAAAAGTAAAACCGATTCAGGTTTTATAAAGTTTCATAAGTTCAGGTTCATAAAGTTTTAGGTGGGTTTATTTTTTACGTAAAATATGAGTGGTCGGTTTTTATGGAGACAGCCTCTTAAGTGGTGAGGTGTGTTGACTGTAAGATGGATTGATCTGTGGAGGGGGGTGGTGCATGGTGCTGGTGGTTGGGTATTGATATAAAATAGGAAAGGTTTGCTGTGATGTACTTGCACTTTGGGGTATGGCATGGGGATTGGTACTTGTATAGGTGGACTGGGCACTGATTACAGAACTACTCACTGGATCATTAATTGTTGAAGGTACAAATTCAGGTGCAGACACATTGATGGTAGTATCTGTCTCTGTAACTGCAGGTGGGGGGATGTCACTCACTGTCCCTTCCTTGGAGGGGCTGGTAGGGGTGTGGTCAATTTGAATACTGGGATTGGTCACAGGTGGGCTACTAGAGGTTGCACTATTTTGGGAGTCTATATTAAGAAGTGCAGCAGATGCAACCATAGTATCTACTTGATTTACAATAGGTGGAGTCTTTTCGATTGAACTTTGACAGTCAGATAGGTACAGATTTATGGATCTAACCTGTTTAAAACCTTGTGCAATAATCTTATCAATCTCAAGAAGTAACTGAATATCTTGCTCTGATTTTGAAGACCCAATCAAACTCAATTCAGAGATTTTCCCACACAACACATTTAACATTGCCTGCAATTCTTCTTTGTCTAATTGCAATGCTCGTTTATTTGGACTGGTAGAATTAATATTTATATCAACTGTTTCGATTAACTCACTTATTCGACTAGAATCTAGCTTTAAGGCAACTCTCGCTGGTTCTACTGCTAAGTTTTTGTTTATTTCTTGCTCAGCAGCCTTTTGTTCCAAGAATACTTCCCTAGCCTCATTATAACACTGTTTAACATTTGTCTCTATACTCACTAACATCCTCTCCGTTCACAACACGAAGTTCACTGTTCTCTTCCTCTGACACGAGAAGTTCAAACTCTTCATTTGCTACACAGAAATCATCGTACGCCTTTTTGAGTTCGATTATTAAACTCTTCAACACATCATATTCTGTTCCTCGGTGGGCTGCACCGATAAGCCGCCTCGAGGCCAAACTAACCGCCGTTTTGGCCTTACTTCTCTTTTGTTTCTTGTTTTGGACACTCATATTTTAGTTCATAACATCGACCAATGACCCAATGATAAGTACGTCAAGCAACTTCGAGTATTTGGCAGGCAAAACTCTTTTAAAGTCGGCTTCTTTATAAAGTCGGCTTCTTCCTCTACGCGTCGTGTTTTATATGTGATAAAACACTCCTATACGCGTGCTTTAAATAGTACTTAAAATGCTAGCGTTTTTAGAGTAGGAAAGCTGTTACTATAAACCCCCAAAAAACGGCCTTGCGCAAAAATATTTTTCATCAGAGACAAAATTTAATCACACAGAATCAAAATATGGGCTGTCTTGCACAAGCTATCAAAGTTTCAAGAAATTTGGTGCACGCGTATAGGCCAACGCGAGATCTTCAAAACCTGGATTTTCTCCCATTTTCGGTTAGTTCAAACGCGATTTCTATGCATGATTTCAAATTAATTTTATGCTTTGCATGAGTGTTAATTTTGCATATTTTTTATTGGTTTACGTGAAAGTATATTAGACTAGTTCTTATTTAATTAATAAAATACTTTTCGCTGCAATAAGAAAAACATATTGAAAATGTAAATAACATTCAAATTCAATTTTCTTCCTGTGGGCTTCCTCAAATTTTCACAGGTAATATCTAAAGACATCAGTTTCAAAATGTGTTTGGCTTTTTTTCTAATTTTGGATATTTTAATAATAATAAGGAGCAATTCACTCTAATAATTCAGAAATATATTGCAGTCGTCAAAGAAATCGCCATATCAGCGGAATGACGAAATAAACAAAAATTTCCAAACACAGTTTTTTAGTGTTATGATATTTTCATAGTATATATCTTAAAACCAGCAGGAAAAAAACTCAAAAGCTTAAAGGTACCGCGATTTACAATTTTCCTGAATAATTCTTACATTATTTTATTGTTTGTCACTTTTACAACTTAATTTACCATATTTTGCATGCACTGGCGAACATTTGGTGAACATTTGATGAAAACTGATCGGACTGATATTGAGCGCGCAATAGCATTTTTCGCAAAACGCCAAAAAGGGTGTCTTGTAACCTTAAAGCCGAAGTTTCAGCAAACCACAAATCGACCAACGCCATGCCGAGTTATGCCCTCTACGTTAGTTGTGGGACAACTTAAGAGAGGATGTCCACAAAAATCAAACATAAAGCGGCCACGACTGAAAAATCGATTTTGCTCAAATTTTGCCCAGATATACTTTATTATATCGGAAAATGCACCATATATTATTTTTGGTCAAATGCTTTTTTAACTTTGAGAAAATGCCGTTTTAACACGGCCACCCTAAATCGCCATTTTTTCTGGGAAAATATATACGCTGATTTTACAGATAAATTTCACGACGACAACAGTTTCTAATCGATCTAAAACCCTAAAAATCTTGTTTTCGGTTATTCAAAGGACTGTGTACATGACTTACCGGAAATCTGAGTTACTTTTAGGAATAGAAATAATCGTAGTTTTGGAGCACACTATATTACTTCATTTACGATACCCTCTTAACAAAATTGATTTTCACCATGCGATAAAGCTCCAAATCGATCATGCTTCTACTAGTTGGCTCTTTAATAAACAAGCTTTCAATTGATGTAAATACTTCTTTTGGCAAATGATACGCGATAAACGACAGCGCGTTGAAATCTTCCGTTTTTGACGTCTTGCAAATCAAACGCTGTTAATTTATACACCGTCGAAGTAAACAATTTAATCAAATTGAGAAAAAACATAGTCTTGAATGGGGACTTTTCGCTTTGCTAAGTTTAAAAGTGGTCCAGAAATCCCGGTATATTTGTAAAAAAACATCAAACATCCAGTATTTTGAGACATTGTTGACGGTTGCATGATAACTTCAGATCATTATTCAACGTGATCTACGACCCGGCCGTTTGACTTTAGCGCTAACATATACAAATCCATGAGCTATTTATAAGGATTATATTTGCTACTAAATTCTCCAACAACTGCTGTTTTCAGAGGTTTTGATCCATTTTGTCCATATTAATGTACCATTTTAGGCCACATAAAAAAAATAGTTGGTTAGCGCTCTTAGCTTTTGCCAAAAAGTGAGCGGGCGGGCGCTTTTTTTTTACTAATTTTTAACGCCTTGGTTTTACTCACGGTTAGGTCCGAAACTGGATTTTCTTGCGCAGTACAGATATTTTTTTTATATATTTCAAAATATGATTCATACCGTCATTTTCGCACGCAATTTCGCAAATTATTAACACAATTGACTACAGTCAACAGAAATACTACATACATTAGAGCCCGTTGATCAATAAAAGTTGTTTTTTTATAAATAAAAAATAAAAAAAAATCCTGAGCGGGGCCTTTTTTGTGGGAGGGCGGGGACGCTAACCAACTATTTTTTTTATGTGGCCTTATTTATCGACTGATGTTTACAAATACGTTTAGTTAATTATTAAGCAGCTGTTAGTGCGCGTGCCATGTGAAATGAACGTTTAAAATGTTTATCCATATAAGGAGTTTTTACTTTTAGTTTACCAGCCCTTATATTTGAATAGTCGTTTTCTTTCAAGTTGTTTTCTTTTTATACTCTGCAAACTTGATTCCGAAATGTTAAGGTATTCGAAAAAACTATCGAACTTTTCCATGATATTTTAATAGGGACCATTCATTATTTATGACTGGGGGTGGGCTGGCAAAAAAAGGGGGGCATGAGGTATTTTTGACTGAAAAAGGGGGGCCACCTAAAAATATTAGTTCAGAAGGGGGGGGATCCAGTTATTTATTATAGTGGAGAAAAATTTGACATGTAACGATTATTGCTACCACAAGGAAGTAGCAATAATCGTTTTGCCGGTTTGTTGGTTTGCCGTGTCAAGTCCGAGTGAAATTCGAGCCTGAGTCAAATGTTCGAGTCACTGGCTGTTTGGCGGTCTTTGTAGTTCATTGACGTAGTACCCTGTACCCTAACCCTATTCCTAACCCAGGGCCGTAACAACCGCTAATCATTCTTTTTCCAAAATCATGCAGATCATTCATTCTCATTCATGCTAATCATTCTTTTTCCAAAATTATGCAGAATCATTTAAATAATATACCTTTAAAATACTGACAATTGATTGATTTTAAGCGGCTACATTACCCAACACAAACTGCAAAGAATGAAATTATATTTTTCAAACTCTCCTGCAACTTATCCAATATTGATATAGTTAATTAAATACGCCTTCGCCCATTTAGTGCTACTAAATTGTAAATTTCGACATAATCTAAAATGATGTTTTCTGACCATCAGAATTCTGTCAAATCTTCCCCAAAGTCCAGGAAATGGCATTTCAGAGACTCTAAATTAAAAATTTCCTCGGGCCTTTGGCCCTCGAAGCTCTGCTAGGCATGCCTCAATTGTGCTCAGCAACTGTACATTTATTATATTGTCGGTGGTTGTGAGGGGTCATTATTTTTTAGAATTCAAGGGGGTCATTGAATTTTTTTGTGATGCAGGGGGTGGGTCAGGACATTTTGTTTAGTTATTGATTGAATTTTGCCAGCCCACCCCCGGTCATAAATAATGAATGGTTCCTTACAGAGAAACGTCACAGCTGTAAACCCCCCTCCCCCACCCCCAAAACGAACATATGACGTTTCTTGTTGAAAAAATCGATATGTGAGGCTTCCCTAAAACTGCAAGGTTTACACTATTGAATTAAAATCCCACAGACCACAACGATTATACGTATTGATAGTAGACGCGTACGTGCATGTTGCGGAATTGAAGAGGTTATTTCGCTGGCCTCAGAGTGACAAAAGGTACCCTGGTTCTAGAGGTTTAAAATAAACCTCTGTTTGAAAGCGGCAATTTGATTCATCGAGCCGCGCCAATCAGCTTGAATTAGGGTAGATAGTTATGATAAGACAAGGGCGGCGCCAGGGCCGCCCATGCAGGGTGGAGGCAAAGGGAGCAATTTTCTCCGCGACCCCAGCTCAAGGAAGACAGGCAAATACAAATTTGCAAGGCGATAAAAAGTTTGTCGACGGAGGGGGGTAACTGTGGTTCACCGGGGCCCCAAGGGTATAATTGGCCCTGGGGCCCCATATTTCACTGAGCTGGTTTGGATTGCGCCAGTATTTCTCCGACGGGGGTAGTCATCAGTGCTCTCTTTTGATCTTTGTCAATTGGCATTAAAACCGCAAGAACTACCAACAAGTGACCAGGCCCGGATTAACGTCGCGCGAGGCCCGTGGCAAATTTTAGCGCGAGGCCCCCAAACCTCCTCCTTTCCAACCTCGTTCCCAGGGTCTTTAGGAAAGACCCTGGTATCGGCTCGTCACGTGCCTCGTCCAAAATTGATTGGCCGAGGGGTGTGTGGTGAAAGTATCAAATTACAAACAGTTAAAAACATAAATTTTGCGAACTATTACCAGTAAGTTCAAAATACTTGCTAATTTTTGTTTATTTTATTTACTTTGAATTTACAAGAACATTCTTACATTTTTACCAACAGTCAAGTCAAGAAACCAAGCAAATCGTTACTCGCAGTGCTCTCTCGTGTTATTATTATTCAATGCTCTCTTCACACTCGAGCGCGGTTTTATAACAATAACGTTTATGGGCTTTCAGTGGTCACCATTTCTACATATCTAATGTTTTTAAAACAAGCATTAGATTTGTCCTTTTTTGTAAACGTTGCTATGCTTTGCACGTCTTGTTTATAAGATTTTTAAAAGAAACAGTATTGCATTGTATTGTCTAGGACTAGAGAGTAGAACCCAATATCAGCAAATGTAAACATTTGATACTAGCCAAACAGAGAAATGTCTGTCAGTGATTTATCTTAAAAATTTTGGATTTAGTACATAATTCGTATTCATTAATTATAGTAAGGCTTTAGCCTTTTTCTTGGTCAGATAATGTTTTCCTAATATGCACACAACTATAGGCTATAATCTACATCACAAATTTACAGTGTCAGACGCGCACAGACTACCATACGAATACACATAAATTTTCGAGTTTTCTACTTCTACTAAGGCTACTAACAGTTTTCATTGTGTCTCAATCATCTGTTTATTTCTAGTTCAATAAGTTCATTTATATTTCTATATTTATTTGATAGTGGCATATACCGGGTGGCCCAAAAAAAGTACTCCTGTTTGATTCGTAATAACATCTAAACAAGTATAGCTTTTAAAGAGAAATAACTTGCATCAAATAGAGGAAGGACTAACTTAGACTTTGATATATTACAGTTGTATTTCACTTAAAAATTCACGGAGATATTAATCTTTAAATTCGGGAGGATATTTCTGGATGTGTCTGAAATATGCAAAATCGGCGTATCAAATATTAATCAAGATTTGCCCGACTGAAACATGCACTATTACCAGTAAATAAATGACACTTGACAAATTGTTTATTATGAAACAAAGTATTATTATATCTACAAAATACAAGCAAGATTCATTCGTCCGAAATTCGCGTGTGTTCCTAGCATGAATACGTTTCCTTATTTCATGAGACCACTGCATCGCGAAGGATCGTCATTGGATCGTTCGTAGTTCTGAATTAGGGCATGCTGTCACAACGGAATTGTGAAGCTCTTCTAACTTCTGCAACGTTCTGAAATCTTGTTAAGAACACCCAAACTCTTTTGCCGTTTCTTAATCTTGGCAAGTCCATGGAGTAAACTGAGAATTATATGAAACACAATCAAACCATACAACTCCATAAGACGTAACAATTAAGCAACTCCCCAGAGACATGCAACATTTTTGGAACAAAACGTAACAAAATAGTAGCGTTGATACGGTGATGTGTATTTGCAAAAAGCAATATTATTTCCTTCTATAAAGAATATTCATCCTGCTCTAACCGAGAAATAATCTACTCAGTCTGTTTGAACCCATTAAAAACATAAAAAAATTAGGCTATTTAAGAATACGAAAAATTTAAGCGCCTGCCTTCCATGGTCAGTCTTTCATGTACATTTAAGTTTGCAAAGACCTAATATTAAATACTTGCATAATTTCGAACGTTCATATTTCAGGAACAATGAGCTAAGACTTACATGTAAGATGTCTAAATCTACGCCATATCCCTTACAAACCTTAACGATAATTCGCTGAAATACAAGTTAGCCTAATATGTCATTAAGCAAACAAACGCTGGAGTTAATATTTGATATGCCGATTTTCGCTAATTTTAAACACATTCCAAAATATGCTCCCCATTTTTAACATTAATATATCCGTGAATTTTTAAGTTAAATACAACTGTAATATATCAAAATCTAAGTTAGTCCTTCCTCTATTTAATGCAAGTTATTTCTCTTTAAAAACTTTACTTGTTAGAAGTTATTACGAATCAAACAGGAGTACTTTTTTTTGGGCCACCCGGTATATATATATATATATATATATATATATATATATATATATATATATATATATATATATATATATATATATATATAATTAATTTGTTAACTTAAAATATAGTCACAACTCTGAGTTTCACGCTCAATGCGATCTTCAGGCGACAATGTTTAAATCTCGATTAAAAATTCCTGTATGGATACGTGCGAGTTCGTTAGGCTACTTGCGTGATTGTATTGCGTGCGCACGTTCAAATTTTCCCGCCAAGAATTGCTTCCGGTGGCAACACTTTGAGAATAGCTCACATCTCCTGTTCAACAATCTTTTCTTGTCACCTTTCAAAATTTCCAGTTTCTCTTGGAGGCATAGGTTGCAACTTTTTGCGCCGCTGCGATAAGGTGATGTTTGCTTCAGAATGGACCACTTGATGTTGAATGTACGTTTCTTGTTTTTCAAGTTCCAAATGTGTTTGGACAGCTCAGTGGATTTAACATAGCTGCTATCTTTGAATGAGGTCTTGTGGTTGTAAAAAAGTTTCTTAAACGTGTTTGATGTCATCCCAATATAATCTCGAATTACTCCTGTGTCGTCCGTAACCTCGGCTTTATAGACAACGCTCTTTGTAAGGCAATTATTGTTTAAGGGACATTCAATCAGTGCTTTCTATGCAGTTACAGTTTTCTTTGGTAGATGCTACTATATCACTTTTATTCTTTAAAAGGTTACCGAAGTTATGTTTGGAGATGACGCTTTTACAGTTATCCATGCAACTATAGCTTACTTTGACCGAGTTTCTGTTAAAGATCTTGTGTAGCGGATTAGACGCAGGGAAATGTTTGTCGATCAGGTTTAGAAAGTTTCTAGCAACATTTGTTCTTACATTATTGCTAAAAGGTGGGTTAAACCAAATTACATTTCTTGTTCTCGTTCTATTCTTTTGTTTATTATTTGGGGAGTAGCGTAAATTTGTTGGGTAATGACTACGGTGGAGCGCGGTTTCATAAAGAGGTGCAGACTTCGAGAAAGCTTCTTGATTCGATGATAACTGAGAAATTCGGTTGCCCACAGAAGATGGGAGTTTCTTTGTAATTGAAGGAGGGTGGTTTGAATGACTGTCAATGAAAAGTGGTTCATTGTTAGCCTTTCGATAGGGTTGGTAGCTTTCATCATTTAAATTTAAGGTAATATCTAGGAAGTTGACAGATTGGTGGGTAATTTCTGCGGTGATTTTCAATTGAAACTCATCGAAAAGTTGGTGGAGATCTTTTCTAGCTTTGTCAGCAAGCCGGGCAGAATGTAAGAACAAATGTTGCTAGAAACTTTCTAAACCTGATCGACAAACATTTCCCTGCGTCTAATCCGCTACACAAGATCTTTAACAGAAACTCGGTCAAAGTAAGCTATAGTTGCATGGATAACTGTAAAAGCGTCATCTCCAAACATAACTTCGGTAACCTTTTAAAGAATAAAAGTGTTGTAGTAGCATCTACCAAAGAGAACTGTAACTGCATAGTAAGCACTGAATGTCCCTTAAACAATAATTGCCTTACAAAGAGGCAATCGGCTATAAAGCCGAGGTTGCGAACGACACAGGAGTAATTCGAGATTATATTGGGATGACATCAAACACGTTTAAGAAACGTTTTTACAACCACAAGACCTCATTCAAAGATAGCAGCTATGTTAAGTCCACTGAGCTGTTCAAACACATTTGGAACTTGAAAAACAAGAAACGTACATTCAACATCAAGTGGTCCATTCTGAAGCAAGCATCACCTTATCGCAGCGGCGCAAAAAGTTGCAACCTATGCCTCCAAGAGAAACTGGAAATTTTAAAAGGTGACAAGAAAAGATTGTTGAACAGGAGATGTGAGCTATTCTCAAAGTGTTGTCACCGGAAGCAATTCTTGGCGGGAAAATTTGAACGTGCGCACGCAATACAATCACGCAAGCAGCCTAACGAACTCGCACGTATCCATACAGAAATTTTTAATCGAGATTTATTTAACATTGTCGCCTGAAGATCGCATTGAGCGTGAAACTCAGAGTTGTGACTATATTTTAAGTTAACAAATTAATTATTTGCTCTACGTTATTAAATGCTATTGAGCACTATTTTTACACTGTAAAATTTGATCATTTTTGGTCTCATTAATATTATATATATATATATATATATATATATATATATATATATATATATATATATATATATATATATATATATATATATATATATATATATAAAATAAGTTCAACGACTCAACAAATTCCACTAGGCATCTTTATTACTATTAGTTTGTACCACAAGATGTGGCACTCATCAGATAAATTAGCCATATATATATATATATATATATATATATATATATATATATATATATATATATATATATATATATATATATATATATATATATATGTGTATATATATCTGTTCAAGTTTCATTTATTTTTTTCAGTTTTGTACAAAAAATTTAAATAAAAAAAGAATTATCGTGTTGTCACGGCTAACATGACGTGAGCAACGCGAGCCTGCGTTCAGTGTTGGCGTAATTACGAATATACTTCATGTTGAAACAATGTTTGGAAAATATTGGCGGGTTGTTGCATGCATGTATTTCTAGTACGAATTAAAAACATTTAAGAAGGTGATTTTTTATCTAAACTCGCTGTCACGAACTGTCACAGAAAACTGTAAGATGCCCGATTCATGCATGTGTGCTTAATTTGAAGTCTCGTTGACAACTGAAGGTGATTCGCAGAGGCTTTTTGTTTTATTTTTAGTATTGTTTTTTTTTTAGTAACTCGTAGACGGACTAGGAGAAGCTGATGGGAGTAACAGGAAGATTGAAACCATCTTCACGAATATTTTACCCTCCCTATACCCTGCTACATACAACGCCTATATAGCTTTATACGACTAGGAGGAGAGTGATGGCACTGAGACGATGATGCGACATGTTCTATAAATTCAGGTTTAATACAATGAGGATTTAAATTTTTGGATCTGTGTGCAAATTTCTTCTTGAGGAGCTGCAAAATATTTTCGAGGGGGGGAGGGGCACGCACCTTCAGAAAATCCGTCCATCGTGTATGGGACTTTGAACGTTTATAGCAAATATATAGTATCCAGTGCTTACCTTACGTTAACTTCGTCTGCCTGTGAATTACAGACGGCTGTGCTTTCTTCATTAAAGGAAAATTGGTGGGTTTTGATACGTTCACGTTGAAAAAGAACGATATAAACTTTGAGTGCGAAGAAACAAAATAAAATGACCATGGCTAATAGCACAACACGGTAGGATTGTATAGCCTGTTGAAGGATCTCATTTGAACTTCCAGTTGCAGCAACCACGAACACAACAAAAAATGAAACGATCATCACACATGATGTGTACATTGCAAAGGCAATGCATTTGACTTCGTTAAATTTACTAGGTGTATTCCTTACTCTAAAACCATAGTAAGTACAAATTATTATCAGGATTAAGTTATACACGTGTGCAAAAAGGATCTGGGTCTGCGTTGTACTGCAAACAAGATGCACTTCTGTCGATGAGAAATAAACAATTTTCTCCTTGGGAAACTGCATGATAACCAATGCAAGCAGGAGGACGATTTGGATGCTGATCAACAGGATAGATAAAATTATTTGAGGTAGTGGACGCGCGAATGACGGTTGGTCTGTTATTCTGCGTGTTGGGTCAAAAATACGAACGACGCGGTTAGTTTTCATCGCAATTGGAACAAGGGATATTGTGAGGGGAAGACTATCAAGAATAAATTGCGACAAACACTTGAAGCATGATGGGCTACAGATACACACAACAGGGAAAAGGAATGATAGCAACAGTCCAGTTAGTAATAAAAAGCACAATTCACGACCAGATGCTTTTACCAATGGATTAGCATTGAACTTGATGAATATGCATAGAGTGAAGAGAAGACAAACTATTCCTAGTACAGATAGTACTAGAGGCGGAATGACCAGTAACTTTGAGATTCTTTTGTCCAAACTGTAGAAAAGTTTCTGAATTTTGATGCATTTTCTTGTTTGTTCGTTTGCCAAATATCCCTGCCCACATGCATAACATGTTGTTTCGTTAATAGCAATGGAACCAGCCGGACATTCCACGCATGTCCAACAACAAACTGGTTTTTCAGGGATACGTTGTTTAATTTTGTTGTCTTTACATGGCTCAGAACATTGTGTTTTAACAGAGATTGACTTCAAAACAGAAATTGAACTGGAATTCATTTTCAGCCGACCTAGCCAACTACCAATATTAATATTCTGCCATGTACCAATCTTGTTTCCTGGTATGACGAAATGAAATGTATATCCTCCTTTCACCTCACCTTCACTATCTATATCAACTCTCCGGCCATCAACGCTTGGGAAACTAGAATTACGGATAGTGTCGAGTAATAACGAGCCAGATATTTTGGTGGTTTGCTCACAGTTGGACAAACTTGGGCATGTAGCTTTCAGTACTTGGTGAAGACCACGCGCAAAAACGTATACAGCATCTATAACTCTATCACTGACGTAGAACGAATAACCTGGCGATAACGCAGTTCCAAATGTCTGACTTGAGTTGCATCTTTGCATGTTCTTGAATTCTGAATTCATCGTGCCATTTTTGAAAGTGCAATTCATGATTTGCTCATAGGAAAGCTTAATCAACGCCGCCATGTTCGAATTTATATTTTGGACGCTTAAACTTCCCAGGTAGTTTTGGTAGTCTGGTATGTGATTACTTATTAGCCGGGTATACACAAATCCTGTTTTTATCTGAGCAATGTTATCTAAAAGCCAAGAGTTGCCCATGGCCTCTGAGCCAAATAACTGGATTTGATCAAAGTTTTTTATCATACCCGCCATTATGTTGAGCATGGGCATGATTGCTGCACCAATACAAAACAATGCGATGACGTCATTTTTATTAAGATTTGCCAGTTGACCAATTTTTTCACGGTACGTAGCTTCGTTGTAAATCACTGGTAGTTGTATTTCAGTAGCAAAACATATCCCTGAATGAAGAAAAGTATCCATGAGAAGAGTAATATTAAATTTAGTTAATTCAAATGCGCTGCTTTCGAAAATTGGTCTTTTCGGAGCCTTTAATGTTTTCATATCTAAAGCCTCATTTTGGCGTACAGATACATATAACAAATGAGGAGACTAAGGGCAACACTGCCTGAGTATATTAACAATTAAGGGTGACTCTAAATATTTTAATATTGTTTAGCTTTCGACGGATGATGAACATTTTTAAAACAATGTTTTTGTGTTTAACTTATCACAATACGACAATAAAAAAGCACTATAAAATTAAAATTAGTGGGAAATGAAGAACGTATATCCTTATTAGTAATAGTAAAACCAAACTATAATGAGTATATGCTGTATAGCCTATGATAAGTTTATTTAAACTTACCGCGTTTTTTGGCTTCACTTTTCAACAGTTTGATCCCATGTACACCATAGGAATCATCAGTGTACACAGCGGACACATACGTCCAGTTAAAATATTGAAGCAATTCAACCATCGCTTGAGCTTGAGATAGGTCTGATGGTATAGTGCGAGAAAAATATGGATAATGCGTTTTATCATTCAATTCATAACTTGACGCACTGTAGCTGATGATTGGAATTTCAAATACCCCTAAAACCTGTAAAACAATAATGAATTAAACTGTACAAATTTGAGTGGAAGTATAATATGGTGGAAAAACAATCAATTTTAAATGATTTTTAATTTATAATTTCACAGACATGTATCAATATAGGCATATATGTTTTTTATACAGATTAGAGGGACCCAAAAAAATGCACCTCCATTATGTACTTTAGTGCCGCGTAAGGTTTTGTATACGGTTTTATCGTTTTCTAAAGGGAACATTTACATCATCTTTATTCATCGAAATTTAATTGGTTAAGTTAAACTGTTCAGAGTCATTTAAAGTGACGATACAAACATTACAACTTGTCGAAATACCAGTGTCCAAATAAGCTAACTATAAAAAATTATGGAATGCTTTATATAATGAGGATTAAAAGTAATTAATTCGGACAAGGTTTTTTGTATGACTTTTAATAGATGTACTTTTCTGTCAAGAAACAGCAAATTCATGAGACTTTTATCTCACTACCTGGGCCTTATATAGTACGTATATACGTCCTTTTAGAAAATCCTGGGGTAAGGGATCACAACTCATTAGGCATTCCCTTTCAAAATGGGTCTAATTTCATAACTTGAGGACAAGTTGGCATAATGGTATCCGGCGCCACCTTAAGTTACTCAAGAAAGCAAACGGTTACAATGTTTACTTGAACATGATAAACACTCGGGTATATATTTCATGCTGCATTGAATGCATTGCAGTCATGGTTAATCTTATTGCCTTGAATCTACTGTACAGTAGTAGTGCTGATTTGCAGGACTTAGCTTGGATATATAAACTATACAGCTTACCTTGGATATATAAACTGCTTCATAACTCAGTGCAGGTCCAATAAGTCCAACAATTGGATATTGACTCAGTTTGCCCTTGTGTTTACCAAGCACAAAATGCTTAAGGGTGTATTCCAGCGCTGGAACACGACTAAAGCAGGTATCAACTGCTTTAATTCCAAGAGTAATGTTTGGCAGAATGGTGTCGTCATAGTTGATACGTTCCACAGCAAACTGCATAGCTAGTAAAGATCTTAGACCATCCAAAGAAATTGTGTCAAGACATTTGCTTTTCTCATTAATCTCAGTTAGGACGAATAGTCCGCCAAGGGTAAGATTGCCAGGGTTATCTACATCAATGGCGGGAGTTGTCGTCACATGAATAACACGCGATGATATGAGCGACAACCAAAACTGATATATCCATGGTTGGAGGTATCTGTTTCCAAGCATTGCCAGAATCTAAGAGTAAGAGTAAGAATTAACAATTATATGCCACAACGTACTGCACCAATGCACAATCCAATCTGATTTCGTAACGTATTTCTGGAACGGAAAACAACGCCCAAGACCTGTCCTCCCGTTACAAATGGCTGAAGAAACGATGTATAATTCAGATACACGTTCGTCGTTATAACGACGGTGCACTGTGGCCACTGTGTATTCTTCATCAAGTGCAGCTGGCGCATGAATTGTTAAGAACATTTGTACATGTTGATATTTGCTATTACACCCATCAGTTTCAAAATTACGCGACCAGACTGAAAATAGCTGGAGTTGACATGTCAGTTTAATTTCACACAGTCACGAAGTTCGATATAATGTATATGCTTTGTACTGCACTTTAATATCTTTATATTATGTCTTTACAAGGATTTTCAAGAGATTTTAGTGGTAATTATTGCAAACTTTAAGCAAAACAAAATGTAATATTACCGCTATAGTCTATATATTGAGTTGGGTCTTGATTACAATTCGACTGGGCTTTGTAATCATTTATTCAGTAAACCAGAGCAGCGAGCGAAACATGATTGTTTCTTTTAGTTTGTATATTTAGCTTATTTTGGTTCAATATTCTTCTTCAGGTATTAAATACGGTTTAATTTAAAAATGCCTTTTGTTTACGTTTGTACTTGGCAGTTCGTGTGAAATAAAACTGACATGCATATGCATTTGTTCATACTGGATATTTTTTAATTATGCTACTGTATGTCGGTGTATTCTTTGTCGGCGAAGTCTAATTCCGTCGGAGGAAAACTCGGACTAGGAATCGACCGTTAAGACACTCATTGACATTTATATTTCTACAGAATAGGGCTTCAAGGCCCGATCACACTACATAACGATAACGATACGATAACTTGTATACGCGTTCTGATTGGTCAAAAATTTATCGTTATCGTCCGACTGAAAAAACAACACCTGTATATCCGTACCTTTTATAGAGTTTTAGGAGCATTATTTTCAGAGGAATTATTGCAGCGGAGAGATGTTGTTTCGCTCAACTATACACTCTGTTATCGGATATAGGTGCTTTTTCGCGACATTACAGAAAGGTGACACTCTACCTTCAATTTGCAACCGATGAGCTCCACCTTGAATTTACTATATGAGTAAATTCTTAAACACGTCCGAATTTATCAATATGATTTTCAAGATTTTCAAAAAAATAGTTTTTAAATTAAAAAAAGTTTTAAAAGTTTAAAAATGTTTTAAAAGTTTAAAACGTTAGATTTTCAAAAAAGGTAAAAAAGTTTAAAAAGTTAGGGTTAGGGGTTAGGGGTTAGTGGTTAGGGTTAGGCTTGGGGTTAGGGTTAGTGTTAGGTGCCGCGAATTTATTATGATAAATTCAAAATGTGCCGCGAATTTATCATAATGATAAATTCGGACATGTTTATGAATTTACTTATATAGTAAATTCAAAGGTGGAGCAGTCATGCTGTTAATTTGAGTCTGACAGTGAGATCGAGCGAAGGCTACTAATTTCCTCACGAAAGGGTCTTCGCTCAAAATGTCGAAGTTCTGCTTATATTTTCCATAGTTGGGTTTGATATACAGGGTGTATAAAAAACGGGTAATTCAACTTTGACAGGTTATCGCGTGCGTTAATCATTGCGTTTGTAGGTCTTCTGTTTTCGTATTTTTAAGATCAGGCTTTTAGCTGTCAAAATCGCATTGATTCGATAAAGGTCTCATGATCATTTGACAGTCAAATGACACCTTTATCGAATCATTGCGATAAAAATGACCAATTACGATCTGATTTAAAGTCGTCGGTTGAAATCGCATTTTTCCACATTTAGGATTAATTTAAATGTTCTTCAAAGTTTCGAACATTTGATTTGCCCGGCAAATGCTTGCTGCTCATTTGGAAATTGCGAGTTCTGTCTTCAATATAACGACTCATCGATGCAAAATTGCGAATGGAAATTTACCAAAACTTGATTCGCCGCTCACCAGTCAGCGTTGCGCCAACTTATTAACTTTGAATCCCAAATGAGAATAATTTCAATATTCAGTTAATAAGTAGCATTAATCGACAACCGAAAGTCTGATCTGTATTGGTATGAAGTCTTGAAGAGAGTCTTGCACAATAACATGCCAAAATTAAATTACCTTTTCATGGATACACCCTAGCTGTATTACTTCCAGGCGACAGTCGCTTTCCAGCTAGGATATAAATAATGAACGGCCCTAAGCCCCCAGGGGGGCTAAATAGAGGTAATACGGTATATCTATATCGCTATTATAGAGTAAGCAATATCAGATATCACGGTTCCTTGCATGTATGCATTATACATATCCTTAGTTTTCAAGTATATGGCTGTCAAATGTGGTCTAACAAGCACATCTTTCAAGCGCTCGGCACACACGCTCACGCAATAAACGATGGTCAAAATGTAGAATTAAAACATACGTACGTTGTTATAAGTCCTAACGCTCGATGGTATCTGTGTATTAATCATCATGTTGCCACAAGAAAATTCTCCGAATTACGAGAAACAGTTTAACAAAACATGTAAAAATTTCCATTTCTATTGGCATTGCACCACAGCCAGACGTAATTTATATTACTATTAGTTATCTAGCTACTTACCGTTTCGTTGTGCAGCCAACAAAGTTAAAGACGTTAACTCATTTTGTTACTTATGTATTGTTACAATTAGCATTTGTTGATATTTAATTATTTATATTGCTTTTGAATGACGCCACTTTTTACTGTGTAAACCTCGGTCAGGTCCAAATTATCCGTAGCCGTAGGAAAACTTGTAAAAGCCGACACGTTACAATTTTTAATACCATTTATATCTGTTAATACCCATTTATATTTCTTTATAGGCTGGAAATAGTGGAGAATAAAACAAAAAAAAATATTACTTCATAATTAAAATATACAAATTTCTTACTTCATAATTAAAATATACAAACATAAAATGTGAACAGCTGACCCACCAGATATTTACAATTGATTCATGAATTAATTCCTTTCCAGTCAGTGAACTTTTCGAAGTTTACTAGTTACTATTAGTATTAGTGTTATTCAAGGGCGATCAAAATTGCTCGTGTCCGAAGGACAATGTTTTTCCAAATTGCACGCCGAGAAACCATACAATAGTTTTTTTTTATATACATGAAAAATTACTACATGTTTCGATAACACCTATACACTCACACCTCCATTGCTTGTTAGCAAACTTTTTGGTCCCAACTCCTTGTACTTAAATCGTTATATTCACGTACGATTTTGCAATGAAAAGTGAAAATTTACATTGCTAATATTTGCCGCCATGCATGTCGCAATCAGAATTGAGTAGTTTTTTCATCTATACATTGTTACTTTCGAAATGGTGTAAATTGCTTCATTATACCTGCATTCGCTGCACTTATATTTAATATTCTTGTTGTTTGTCGACATAGGAACCATTTATCCTGAATAAATTAGCCTTTTTCCCTTTTAGGACAGGACTCACTTCAGGGAATTATCACGATATCGTTGATTTCGCGTTGTAACAAGACCGGCTGAAATGATTTTGGAAATGTGTCACTGTATACATAACTTAAGTCTATGACATTACAACTAGATAAAGTTTCGTATTTGCGCAAATTAAACAAACTTTCCTGGTAGTGATTCTTTACAAAGATGTCCTAGATGAACATGCACCCCCAAAGCGAAAACATATCAGAAATTACCAGTTACCAAGAATCTCACCAGCCATTTTGAGAGAAACAGAAATCGCCTACTGCATTTACTCGCTTGAGCGCAGCGGCGTTCTTTAAATTTTCAGAGCTTCAGATGCGGCGCTCATTTGGGGGGCGGCGCCCAATCGGGGGTGCCGCTCTTTAAAAAAAAAATATTTGTGAATTTTAACAAGAACTTTTAACAATAAAATAAACAAGTTTTAAATGTCTTTGTGACTAAATGTCCCCATTCTGACGGCGGAAAGTTTTTACACTGTTTACAAGTTTACAAAATGTCTGAAAGGCTCGAAGTGTGACTTTTCCCACAACGACTTAAATCAACACGCAGTTATAAGCCAACCTCTATTAAATGATAATCGACTGGGTAATGATCAGTTCCCTTTTTCAGAAAAAATGCAAAATCTAATATTTACGATGAATCACATAGAAAGGACTTCGCAAAGAATGGAATTGTTCCAGACAATTCCTCCACGTTACCCCTCTCCCCCTGCATGTCCTGTACCACCCCCCTTTGCAATGTTCCAATCCCCTTACCAACGACCTCAAGTATTTCAGCCCCGACCGCTAATGGAGATCCCATGCCATCCACCTCAACATCGTCGTCGATGAGTTCTGACTATAGTGTTTATCGGCCCACATAGTAGATTTGACAGTACGATCTTTATCGGCGAAAGTTGATGAAACAGAGTTCCTAGCTGAAGTTAATAACGTTTAATTTGTATGACAGAGACTTCGTTGAATCAATCTATCGACAATAGTTTTCTGTCTCTGCCAAGTTAATATATTTTATTTAGACTAAGATCGGTTAATGGCATCTGGCGGTGGTGTGTGCATATAATTATGTTCACTCGAAAATCCTATGTAAAAGAATAAAGGAATTTGAATCCTTTTCTATCGAATCGCTGTGGCTTTCACAAGACCAAAAACGTCTTCAATTTCAGTTATACTCCTTGCTGTTATTTACCATCCCCCCCCAGCAAGTGCCTCTGAGAATAATGATTTGTATGAACATATTCAATCTAATGTTGACACATTTCTTTGCAATTCAGGTAAACACCCAGAAGCTCTTGTTATGGTTACCAGTGATTTTAACACCCCCAAGTACTGGATTGAAGGACAATCGCATTAAAAGCCTATCTGGTTTGCGCCAAATTATTAATGTTCCAACGAAAGAAAAATCCATCCCAGATTGGTGTTTAGTAAACTTGAAGGGTGTAAGTTTTTAATCGACCCAATTACCAGATAGCTTAAGA